GTGGCCAGGGCGAAGCAAGCTCCAATCCCATGGCCGATATCCAAAAATCAGTTTAATATAAGAGTCGGGCATTGCCCGACATATCAGATATTAAGCTGATAAGAACAGATACTACACTTGATCTTAGCCAAAAGGCCGAGAAGCGATACAGAAGAAGAGCTTTCGCCATTTTTTCACTCTACAAGTTGCATGAGAAACACACGGTTCTATTGTATCTTTCGCGTAGAAATCATGCAACAAATGAAAAATCAAGCAGTACGGATAACGAAGGAATCATCCTTTACTACAATCGTCATGTCAAGCGTTCTTTCTAATCCAATGTACACCTGTTCGTAAAGAAGAACATGTTTGAAAATTCGCGCGTAATGCCGCGAAATGCGATCGTTTCATATGACGTAGGAAGCACGCGATGTCTGTCGCGAACTTGCTGCAGACGTGCTTTCTCATTGTAAAACAAACGCTTTGTGCTTGTGGGCGATAATGATTCGCATTGTATGCAAGTGCTGCAATGTCAACAAGGTCATGCTTCATGAAATCGGCAGACAAGCAGCTCAATGAACGAATTTTACACTACGAGCCGTTAAATGTCAGTGATACATAGAAATAATTACTATAAAAGCTAAACAAACGTACGACTAAGTAAGAAAAACGTTCGCAATGCAATTTCATTACTGTTAACGTCGACGATACATATTATAATTTGTATATTTTCATAATGTATATGCCGTCCGTCAAAATATACACACACGCCGGCCGTTTACGTCGTTGTTAAGTACAAGTAATTTATGTCAAATACAAGTAATTTATTCTTGCTAATAGATGATATAAATTTCTCCTGCATCTCGCTATGCATTTTGGGATAGGTCAGTAAAAATTTGGCAGCATGCAACCTAACCCCGAACGAACAACGAATTTATATATCGTGTTCTATTTTATTTGTTCTTTTCTCCGCTTCTTCCTCCCATCGTGAGAAACGAAGGGGACGAGCGCGAACGCAGGTCCCCACTACCAGAAATTATACGCTCGAGTTACCCACGTTAGGGTAATCGCAGGAGTCAACCCAGTCGAAGTGCAATGAAAGGGCCTCATCCTGAGAGGACCTCCTAGCTGATCAAGGTGCCTCTCGCGTCAGGTAAGTATGCTCGAACGACGCACGGCGAGCATACTTTGTACGCGAACGTACGCTCGGTGCGACACGGTTGCACCCTCCCTTTACTTTTCACTACTTTTGCACTTGCAACTTACCGTCTGACGGCCTTTATTGTCTTCCTTTCCGACGACGACGACGTCTTTTCGTCTTTCGCCGACTCTGTCGAAAAGAGACGTATGTTAGTTAATTAGTTAAATGTTAAACGGTTCGTTTCTCGGTTAGTTAGTTAGTTAGTTAGTTACAGACAAAATAAATTCGCTTTGCTATTTGATTTGCTGGCTGTTTTGTTTGTTTTTTTTCTTTGTTTAAAGTAAATGTGTTTCCTTCCGCGAAGGGAAATGGGCCGAACTCGGAGGTAGTGCAATACCGAGATAACCCGTGGCCAGGGCGAAGCAAGCTCCAATCCCATGGCCGATATCCAAAAATCAGTTTAATATAAGAGTCGGGCATTGCCCGACATATCAGATATTAAGCTGATAAGAACAGATACTACACTTGATCTTAGCCAAAAGGCCGAGAAGCGATACAGAAGAAGAGCTTTCGCCATTTTTCACTCTACAAGTTGCATGAGAAACACACGGTTCTATTGTATCTTTCGCGTAGAAATCATGCAACAAATGAAAAATCAAGCAGTACGGATAACGAAGGAATCATCCTTTACTACAATCGTCATGTCAAGCGTTCTTTCTAATCCAATGTACACCTGTTCGTAAAGAAGAACATGTTTGAAAATTCGCGCGTAATGCCGCGAAATGCGATCGTTTCATATGACGTAGGAAGCACGCGATGTCTGTCGCGAACTTGCTGCAGACGTGCTTTCTCATTGTAAAACAAACGCTTTGTGCTTGTGGGCGATAATGATTCGCATTGTATGCAAGTGCTGCAATGTCAACAAGGTCATGCTTCATGAAATCGGCAGACAAGCAGCTCAATGAACGAATTTTACACTACGAGCCGTTAAATGTCAGTGATACATAGAAATAATTACTATAAAAGCTAAACAAACGTACGACTAAGTAAGAAAAACGTTCGCAATGCAATTTCATTACTGTTAACGTCGACGATACATATTATAATTTGTATATTTTCATAATGTATATGCCGTCCGTCAAAATATACACACACGCCGGCCGTTTACGTCGTTGTTAAGTACAAGTAATTTATGTCAAATACAAGTAATTTATTCTTGCTAATAGATGATATAAATTTCTCCTGCATCTCGCTATGCATTTTGGGATAGGTCAGTAAAAATTTGGCAGCATGCAACCTAACCCCGAACGAACAACGAATTTATATATCGTGTTCTATTTTATTTGTTCTTTTCTCCGCTTCTTCCTCCCATCGTGAGAAACGAAGGGGACGAGCGCGAACGCAGGTCCCCACTACCAGAAATTATACGCCGAGTTACCCACGTTAGGGGTAATCGCAGGAGTCAACCCAGTCGAAGTGCAATGAAAGGGCCTCATCCTGAGAGGACCTCCTAGCTGATCAAGGTGCCTCTCGCGTCAGGTAAGTATGCTCGAACGACGCACGGCGAGCATACTTTGTACGCGAACGTACGCTCGGTGCGACACGGTTGCACCCCCTCCCTTTACTTTTTCACTACTTTTTGCACTTGCAACTTACCGTCTGACGGCCTTTATTGTCTTCCTTTCCGACGACGACGACGTCTTTTCGTCTTTCGCCGACTCTGTCGAAAAGAGACGTATGTTAGTTAATTAGTTAAATGTTAAACGGTTCGTTTCTCGGTTAGTTAGTTAGTTAGTTAGTTACAGACAAAATAAATTCGCTTTGCTATTTGATTTGCTGGCTGTTTTGTTTGTTTTTTTCTTTGTTTAAAGTAAATGTGTTTCCTTCCGCGAAGGGAAATGGGCCGAACTCGGAGGTAGTGCAATACCGAGATAACCCGTGGCCAGGGCGAAGCAAGCTCCAATCCCATGGCCGATATCCAAAAATCAGTTTATATAAGAGTCGGGCATTGCCCGACATATCAGATATTAAGCTGATAAGAACAGATACTACACTTGATCTTAGCCAAAAGGCCGAGAAGCGATACAGAAGAAGAGCTTTCGCCATTTTTCACTCTACAAGTTGCATGAGAAACACACGGTTCTATTGTATCTTTCGCGTAGAAATCATGCAACAAATGAAAAATCAAGCAGTACGGATAACGAAGGAATCATCCTTTACTACAATCGTCATGTCAAGCGTTCTTTCTAATCCAATGTACACCTGTTCGTAAAGAAGAACATGTTTGAAAATTCGCGCGTAATGCCGCGAAATGCGATCGTTTCATATGACGTAGGAAGCACGCGATGTCTGTCGCGAACTTGCTGCAGACGTGCTTTCTCATTGTAAAACAAACGCTTTGTGCTTGTGGGCGATAATGATTCGCATTGTATGCAAGTGCTGCAATGTCAACAAGGTCATGCTTCATGAAATCGGCAGACAAGCAGCTCAATGAACGAATTTTACACTACGAGCCGTTAAATGTCAGTGATACATAGAAATAATTACTATAAAAGCTAAACAAACGTACGACTAAGTAAGAAAAACGTTCGCAATGCAATTTCATTACTGTTAACGTCGACGATACATATTATAATTTGTATATTTTCATAATGTATATGCCGTCCGTCAAAATATACACACACGCCGGCCGTTTACGTCGTTGTTAAGTACAAGTAATTTATGTCAAATACAAGTAATTTATTCTTGCTAATAGATGATATAAATTTCTCCTGCATCTCGCTATGCATTTTGGGATAGGTCAGTAAAAATTTGGCAGCATGCAACCTAACCCGAACGAACAACGAATTTATATATCGTGTTCTATTTTATTTGTTCTTTTCTCCGCTTCTTCCTCCCATCGTGAGAAACGAAGGGGACGAGCGCGAACGCAGGTCCCCACTACCAGAAATTATACGCTCGAGTTACCCACGTTAGGGGTAATCGCAGGAGTCAACCCAGTCGAAGTGCAATGAAAGGGCCTCATCCTGAGAGGACCTCCTAGCTGATCAAGGTGCCTCTCGCGTCAGGTAAGTATGCTCGAACGACGCACGGCGAGCATACTTTGTACGCGAACGTACGCTCGGTGCGACACGGTTGCACCCTCCCTTTACTTTTCACTACTTTTGCACTTGCAACTTACCGTCTGACGGCCTTTATTGTCTTCCTTTCCGACGACGACGACGTCTTTTCGTCTTTCGCCGACTCTGTCGAAAAGAGACGTATGTTAGTTAATTAGTTAAATGTTAAACGGTTCGTTTCTCGGTTAGTTAGTTAGTTAGTTACAGACAAAATAAATTCGCTTTGCTATTTGATTTGCTGGCTGTTTTGTTTGTTTTTTTTTTCTTTTGTTTAAAGTAAATGTGTTTCCTTCCGCGAAGGAAATGGGCCGAACTCGGAGGTAGTGCAATACCGAGATAACCCGTGGCCAGGGCGAAGCAAGCTCCAATCCCATGGCCGATATCCAAAATCAGTTTAATATAAGAGTCGGGCATTGCCCGACATATCAGATATTAAGCTGATAAGAACAGAGTTCTTATCAGTTAGTTTATTTAAAATTATGGGCACAGTTACAACAATCAGTATGTACAACAGTGTTTTCAAAAAAATACGGTAAGGAAAAAACAAATAGGTGTAGTAGTTAAGTGTAAGGTTAGGGCTATATACAAAGGGTGAAGACATGGGGTGATGTGTGTGGTAATGGTGGTAGAGAGGATGAAGTAAGATGATGCGAAAAAGAAGAGGGACCCCCGATATAGGTGAACCCAAATATGTACAACAAAGGACCACTATGTTTACAAATATTTACAACTATGTATATTGTTCGTATATGTGACAATGTTCAGTTGGATGGTTGCAGCTCATCCATAGTTGGAGCTGCATCGTCACAGCCGAGGTGTTGTCTGTAGATGTTAGTCGATCCGCGGATGGCATCGGTACAGCAAAGTTTCCTAAAGAGGTTCTTGTACCGGCGTGTCATCCCCATTCTGACGCAGAGATATTCATTTGGGCGGTACCAGGAACCGAGGGCACCAACAACGAAGGGGATCACTTGGCATTGCCTGCCCGATTCGATGAAGTGGCGCTTGAGGGGCTCATATTTTGTAATTTTTTGTTGAGCAGCCTCGCCAGCTTTTTCATCGTTGTCGAACGGACAGGCGACGTCGATGATAAGGACTTCGTTATCCTCTTCGATGATGATGTCCGGGCGAAGTCGAAGTCCCGAACCCTGTACGGCACGGTCTGTGGTGATCTCTCCAAATCTCGTGGCGTTTAGTAGGCGAGCGACAAGGAGATTGTGGCGATCTCTAATTTGCACCATCGACGGGCGGCAGTGGCAGATGACGTGAGGGAGTGTCTCGGGTTGGAGGCAGTGGCGGCATGTGGGTAGAGCGTGTGAAAATCTGCTCTTGTGGGCGTTGAGGGGCAGGACGTTGAGCCTGGCACGATGAATGAACCTCCAGTCTTTAAATCGGATATTGAGGCCATTCATGTGCCAGCTCGAACCATTACCATAGACGTCCTCCACAAGGCAGCGGGCAACTTTCCCCTGGTCCGGGAGTGATGTGAGGGTGTCGGCGTGGCGTTGTTGTGATAGGCGATGAAGGAATAGGGATATCTGCTTAGAATTGACTTTGTCAGATTCGTCTGCAGAGATGGTGGGTGGATCGTTGTCGGAGAAGTGGATGGTGACATGTTGGCGACGGCATGCTTTGCGAACGCGGGACCAGAGGGAAGAATGTGAAGAGTAGTGAAGTGTTTTGAGGCGGGGGTCGTCGTGAGCGGAGAGGTATTTTGTGATGAGGTCTGCTGTGGGGTTGGATTGCGTGGTTTGGCGGACGAAGGATCGAAGGTCCTCCCGTGCGATGGTGCTAACATTGGCGTCGTTGGAAGCCAGGATACGGACGGCCTGGACGATGGCTTGGTGGTCGCATTCCACGTCCGGATCCTGCAAGCCCAAACCGCCAGCCTTCTTTGCTGCGAAGAAATAGCTCTGCGTGGCTCGAGTGGGCAGATTGCAAATCTCACGCAGCACCCGGACGAGTAGCGAACGGTATTCACTCAATGATTTTTTCAGAGGATCGCCCGCCCGGAGTGCATACGTGAGGCATGGTTGCACGAACGTCCGAATAGCATCAAGTTTCTGCCAAGGTGCTAGGAGTGAGTTGTTGATGGCGTGGAGGTCGTGGATGAGGCGTGGAATTATCGATGGAATGTCGTCGATGTTATGGATCACACCTATCGGCACCCCTAAATAACGATACGATTGTTCGTTTTCGAGAGCCGGTAGGTGATCACCGTGAAGATGAAAGTCGTGGCGGTCGGTCCAGAGGCGTCGTCTACCGTCGGACGTGAGATAGAGGGTGGCACACTTGTCTGGTCGGAATTCGAATCCTAGCACCGAGGCAGAATCAGCAGCAGCATCCAGAAGCAACTGGAGCGCTTCGAGTCCGCGCCACGAACGAGATCGTCAGCGTACGCAAGGCAGGAGACGGTTCGATTTTGAATTTGCACACCCCAGCCCTTTGCCTGCGCCCTGTCCTGACCGAGCGAAGGATTAGCTCGAGACAGAGGTTGAACACAATAGGGCTGAGGGGGCATCCTTGTTTCACGCCAGCATGGACAGGGATGGATTCGGTTCTTCCGCCAGGTGTGAGGATGGTTGTGGATGCACCAGCATAAGCGTTCATGATGAGTGCAACCATGTCTGGAGGAACACCAACGTGCAGAAGGGACGAGCGGATGACCTGGTGCGACACACTGCCGGGCGCTACGGATCGCCAAGCGATGCACAATTTCTGCTTTTCGGCGGGCATCGGCAACAATTGACTTGAGCATGAAAGTGTGTTCGTAACAACCTTCGGAGGGTCTAGCACTCTTTTGCTCGTCCGAGAGGATCCCCGTGTCGATGCTCCACCTTGTTAGGCGTTTGGAGCACTCCCATGAACAGCTTATACATGGTTGACATGAGGGCGATGGGCGGAAGTTGGTGATGTCGCTGTCATCACCCTTTTGTAGATGAGGATGGTGACAGCTTCTTTCCACGGGTGGCACGCCGCTCATGGTGGCAACGGGTGAATATGAGATGGAGGATGGCGGTGTGGATCAACTTTCTTGAGGTGTGAGTATTCGCATTTGTCCATGCCAGGTGCTGTGTTGACTGATGAGCTGAGTTTTGCTGCTATTTCTGCTTGACGGTTCGGCGATAGGTCGCCTGATATTGGATCGTCACGCGCGGTGGGGTGAATTTTGGAGGTGCTTTCGAGGATGGTGGTGTTAGTATGTTTTTCCTCGAAGGATGTTGTGAAGTGGTGCTCGTCGTCGATGGTGCCAGTGAAGATGGTGTTGTTGTTCTCCAGGATCTTGCGTGCGCCTCGTTTTGGAGTGGTAGTATAGACCCTGGAGACGCCGGGCTTCGTGGGGTCGAATGATTTGATGTGACGCCTTGTGGTGGACGATGTGAGGAGGTGGGTTGGTGGTCGGTTGGCTTTGGTTTGTTGCGTGAGGTGGAGGATCGGCTGAGGTGGATGGCGAGTTCCCGAGCAGCGGTGGCGAAGTCAGTGCAGTGTTGGGTGAAGTCAGCCCAGGAGGAGTCTTGTGAAAATGTAGACCGCCATTTCTCTGAAGAGGAGAAGGGTGGTCTGGTCGTCAGTGGATGGAGGTTGTTCGTCGTTGTAGAAGCCATCAACACCATCTTCATCGCCAGAGGGGTGCCTGGGGTCGGTGTCGGGTGGTGGAATACGGTCCGCTCACGTGGGGCTCGAGGTTGGTGCGACGGGATGTTATCGCCGGCCAAGTCGCTGCTGGATGTTGATGAAGAAGTTGGTGTTGGTGGGCTAAGTGGTTTGGTGGGTGGTGGACTAAGTGATACGGCGGGTGGTGGGAGGAGGTCGCAGGATGAGTTGTATGAGGTTCGTCGTTGGCGGTAGTGTGGGTTGGTCTGCTTGGAGATTGGGATGGGCGGTGCGATGTCTTGCATGCGGTAATCATGGCTGTGTTCGGTGGGTTGAAATGTGGAGGGAGATTGAGGGCTACTGGAGGTACTACCCGAATCTCCATGAGGCGCTGGAGCAGTAGCTGCACATTTGTCCCCAGAGAGGAGCCGGATGAAGTCCCTGTGCTGCAGGTGGATGGTGACAGCAAGTTATCTTCACCGCCACTACACCTGGGGTGTTTGTAGGTATGTCAGTGGGTGATGGTGGAGATGGTGGAATGTCCTCTGCACGAGTGCGAGGTGGGAGATTTGGGTGTTGATGGATGCGAGAGTGATTTGCGTTGGTCGCTGGTTGGGTGGTGTGTGATGCCATGGATGAGGGAACGGGGGTGAAGTTGTCGGTGGGGTCTTCTGGAGTAGGTTCGGGTTCATCCAGGGTTAGTGGTGGTGATGAATTGGGGCTGGGATGGTACAGTGAGAGGGCGTCCGGGATGGGTGGAGTAGTGTGGCCAGGAGTTGGTTGGATGTTGTCAGGTGGTGCCAACTGCAGGCGCCTCAGGGAGAGGCTGTGTTCTGGGGATGGGGCAGAAAACAGCGGCGGCGATGAGAGTGGTGGAGTGAATATTGATGGGATTGAGGCGGTGGAAGGGCAGGCGGGAGATGGGTCAGCTTGGGATGGGGTTTGGATGGTGGAGGGTGTTCTGGGTGGGTCGGTGGTGGGCTTTGGTTCAGTCGTGGGTGTCCAAACAGTGGATTGTCAAGTCAGGAATGGGGCTGCCAGGTGTAAGAGAGAGGCGGTAGGGAGGAAGTGGAGTGGTTGTTCTCAGGCTGGTTGGTGGCTCTGTAGATGTGACGGTCTCACGAAGTTACAGGATTGGCAGTAGCGTGAGGGAGAGGGATTGGTTGGGGTGTGTGGTGTGGAAGTGAGTTTTGAGAGTTGTGGGGTCCGGAGCGCGAGTGATGTGTACAGTCTTCCATGGGGCAGCAGAGGTCTTGATGGTTGGTGTCTGCGATGACTGTAGCGGAGTATGTGCTGGGTGTTGAGGTTTCGGCTGTTGACGAGGTGGAGTTCTCGGGTGGTGAGGTGGAGAGTAGCAGTCTCTGGGTGATAGGATCGATGGTAGGTAGAGGTGGAGTGAAAGGTGATTGTTGCTTGTGGGAGTGTCGATGAGCTTGCATGTGCTGGTGGGATTCGCTGGGGTCAATGTAGGTGTTGCAAAGACCGCAGAGGTGGGAGACTACTAACTCATGTTGAGGGTGGTTCTTCGAAAAATGTGTTGCCAGGTTACGTATACCAGCAACTTGTCTGCTGACATACGTGCACCCTCGGTATGGACAGCGGATGTCTTGTGGGTGAATGTCGACACGGTACGTTGCCTTGCAGCGCTGGGCCGGGATGTCGTCGTATTTGGGAGTCCCGTGGTGAGCAGTACGCCAATGTTCTGCCAGCGGGCCACGGGTCTTGAACCATTTCATACAATATACACAGGTGGGCATTTTGGGGCCCACACGGGAGAAGAAATGGACGACACAACACAGAAGTTTTTATTATTACCGCTAAAAATGCGCGTACGCGATCGTAGGGTAAATAGCGGGAAGGTTCTGGCGAAATATGAGATAACACGCGTCGAAGTAGCAGATAAATTGTTAGGAGTGCGCAAAAAATATTGGTTGCACGAAGAATGATAGTTTATCGTTTTAAATTAACGCACGTAGAATTTGGCGCGTAGAAAATTGGCGCGCAGTCGGAGTTGGCGCGAGATAAAATGGCGCGTAGATAGAATTGGCGCCAGATAAAATGGCGTAGATAAAGTTGGCGCGAGACAAAATTGGCGCGTCGACAAAATTGGCGCGCAGACGAAATTGGCACGTGGCAAGATGTCCACGCACGTGAGATATTTGAGCGTAATTAGACTTTCGCGGTGAAGCAACAATAGTGGAAATCTGTAAAATATTGCACACAAATGCGCACAAGATGGCCCGATAAATGTGTTAGGGCTGTTAATATAACCTTCTCTGGAGGAAACAATAGTAGAGGCGCGATAAGCGGGAAGATTCTTCAAAATTCCGTTAAGGCGTAGATTTCGGCCACGTGGCGAGGTGAGAAACGCCGAGTCGGCCAGAAAACCGTTCAAAAATCGTTCCAATTGTTTCGAGAGATGCCAGAGAGAAATGTGTTGAGCAAAGCCCTGTTCGTAGGAGTAAAACGAGTTTTGCCGATAAACCAACTCTTTAAGTTTGAGAGAGCTAGTGAAATTAATGCGTTCGCAAGCTTCAAGGCGACGCGGAAGTTTTAAGTTTGTTATAAAAAAAACCCAACGGTAAAAGCGTTAGAAATTGTCCGAACTATATCAATAATGAGCCAGGAGGATAAAAAATGTTCCAGGAGTGACCAGTTTATCGTAGATAAACCAACGTGGTAATAGTAACGCAGACAAGGTAGCGAGGTGTTAAATTATCGCGTAGTCTTTCGGCCTCGTGGCGAGGTGTGAGAAACAAAATCAACAAGCAAACGTCTGAAAATTGTTCCAGTCGGCCCAAAGAGGGTAAAACGTTAATAGAGCCCTCCTCACCGAGAATATAGAACAAATTGACAACAAATTGTTTCTTTAACGTAAAAAGACTCAAAATGAAAAGGTTTTCGCTTCAATGACGCGGAAGTTTAGATCTATAGATACTTTTCGGGGCAAGCTTTAGAAATTGTTCAGAAAGAATCGTGTAAACGATGTAAATATAGCCCGAAGTTAGTATAAAAAGGTAGCAATGTTCCAGGATAGTATATTCGGCGTATGTAAATCCGCGTAATGTAAATTGTAGCGTAATTATAGCAGCGCGATATTCACAGGTAGCGAAGGTTTAACCACGCGGTGAGGAGTGTTAACTACAAAACTCTTCCAGAAAAAGACGATGAAAATCGTTCAAAAAATGTTCCTTCGTTCGTAAAATTGCCCCCGTTCGATGTAGGATGGTCAGACGATGCAGCTGTTCTTAGAAGAACAAGTAAATGGCGCGCGAATGCGACGAGGATATGGTGCTATGCTTCGCTAGTACGAGGAAGATTATACGGCCTCGCTGCTAATATAATTTAAAACGAGCTACAAGGACGGGGCTGAGATCCCTCTCAGAATAAAGTATAAATAAGCGGGGAGAGTATCCTAGCTTAAAATATAATAGTGAATAGCCAAGCACAATCGAAAAAGCCGTGTGCGGGCGTATATCGGTTCGGCAGTAGATCAAGCGCAAATAGCGTTGAGTTTCGCCGTCGAATCAAGAAAATAGTGTTATAAAAACTCACGAACAGGTCGAATATAACGTTTCGTAGAGTTAAAAGAGCAAAGCGACGTAACGTAGCCAAGGATTGAGACGGATTGACGTGTAGAGCAACAGCGTTCCCGAAACAACAGCAAACGGCGAAGGTTCGTCTTCGTCTTGAGGTCCAAGGGTCGTCCAAAAATCGTGTCCAATAACAGTCCAAACCAAGAGATACAGAAGATCCAATCCAAATGTTCCACTAGGAGATCAGCAGAAGAGAGTTAGATTACTAAATTCAAATCACTGACCTTAACGAGCGTAGTCCAATGAGCGTAATCCAATTAGCGTTCCAATTAGCGATCAAATTACCAGTTCCCAAAGTGATCAAGTATAGCGTTACCAATTAAGCTGATAAGAACAGATACTACACTTGATCTTAGCCAAAAGGCCGAGAAGCGATACAGAAGAAGAGCTTTCGCCATTTTTTCACTCTACAAGTTGCATGAGAAACACACGGTTCTATTGTATCTTTTCGCGTAGAAATCATGCAACAAATGAAAAAAATCAAGCAGTACGGATAACGAAGGAATCATCCTTTACTACAATCGTCATGTCAAGCGTTCTTTCTAATCCAATGTACACCTGTTCGTAAAGAAGAACATGTTTGAAAATTCGCGCGTAATGCCGCGAAATGCGATCGTTTCATATGACGTAGGAAGCACGCGATGTCTGTCGCGAACTTGCTGCAGACGTGCTTTCTCATTGTAAAACAAACGCTTTGTGCTTGTGGGCGATAATGATTCGCATTGTATGCAAGTGCTGCAATGTCAACAAGGTCATGCTTCATGAAATCGGCAGACAAGCAGCTCAATGAACG